TTTTTTTTTTTTTTTTTTTTTATCGGATCGGAGAGGTTTTAAAGTTCTGCAAGAAGGCAGTGGAAGCGAGTTTATTGGAGTAAACTGTCGCAGTGGTCTTCTCACTTGTATCTATGTTTTCTATGGCTCTACAAAGTTAAAATGTCGAGTTTTAGCCGTTAAACTTATCAAAAGGACGTTACCTAATTTCTTAACATTCGTTCCAATTCTTTAATCAAATTAGTGACGTGGCTAACAAAATATATATGTAACGCCTCATCACGTCGTTAATAAATTGTTACATTTTCAATTATTCATCAAACTTTAAAAAATGTCTTCAATTGCTCATTAAATTTGAAAAATATATTTAATTACTCACTAAATTTTGAAAAACGTTTTCCATTGCCTATTGAATTTTGAGATGGTTGAATTTTCGACACCAAACTTATAAAAATGATGTTGATTTATTATTCATTAAAAAATATGTAAAGCAATCACACAAATCGCGTAAAAGTAATAAAGTGGACAAACGAGTTTAGGTTATCAATCACACGAGAAATGATTGCTCAATTACATAATAGTTAAATTTAATTTTAAAATTTTTTATAGAATATTAAGTTATTTTCATCATTTTAAATATTCATGTTTATTGTATGTTTTGTTGTTAAAATTATATTAATATTAATTTAGATTTTGCAATCAAACACATAATAAATTTAATTAAATGAATTTCATTCACTTTTTGGTCCCTCCGAGAAATGGATTGTGTTTCGTTGCGAAAATCCAAATTTTAATTAAACTTATTGTGTATTTCGTTGTAAAATCTATTTAATTAAATTTATTTTATTTCGTTGCAAAATTCAAATATTAATTTAATTTTAACAAAGAAATACACAATAAATTTAAATTTTTTTAAATGATGAAAATAGCTTAAAATTCTACAAAATATATTAAAATTAAATTTAACAATTGTAAAATTGAGTAATCATTTTTCGTGAAATTGACATTTCGAATTCGTATGTCCACTTTATTATTTTTATGCTATCGTGCGATTGCACCACATATTTTTTAATGAACAATAAGTCGAAATTATTTTTATAAGTTTAGTGGTCAAAATTCGAACACCTTAAAATTCGATGAACAAAGAAAGGTGTTTTTCAAAATTTAGCGAGCAATTGAAGACGTTTTTCAAAATTTAGTGAGTAATTGAAGATGTTTTTCAAAATTTGATGAGTAATCGAAGACGTAACAATTTGTTAATAGCGCGACAGGACGCCACATATATATTCCGTTAGCCACATCACAAATTCCGTTAAATAATTTGAACGGATGTTAAGGTAGTAACGTCCAATGTTTTGATAAGCTTAATAGTCAAAACTCAACATTTTAAATTTGAGTGAGTAATCGAAAATTGAGACATAAATTCAGTGACCATTGGGACAAATAACTCAAGTTTAATGCAATAAAAAGGGTAAATTTCACCCTTGGTCACTGAACTTCAGCCTTATTTGTAATCAAGTCACCAAACTTTAATTCGAAGCAATCGAATCATTATACTTCAAGAAGCAATCAAGCCACTCCATCAGCCTTGAGTTCATCAACATAACAGTCCACGTGTAACAGCCAAGTCAACAAACTGACCACGTCATCGTAAGTTGCTCCAAATATGAAAGCACGACTTCAAAAAACTGTAATGCACCTTGAAAAATCTAAACACAACTTGAACCCCTCATGGGTCATCGGCAGGGGCGAACCTAGTCGTTTTGGATTGTGGGGTCAAAAATTAGAGTCGTGCTACAGTGTCCACATGAATGATCGCAGAATTGACACAATACACACGTGGGGTCAAGATTACTTTATTCATATGCACCCCGCTGGTCATGTGAGGGTGCGGTTACTTGCGAGGTCATCATCCCGGATTGTGCTTAGCTCCAAAAATTAATGTGTAATTTTTTAAAATAATATAATATTTATAAAAATAAGTTAATACATTTTTTGACATCTTGAAAGTGTCTTATAATTCTATCATTATTAATATTGTTAAATGAATTTTGCTACATGTATAGTTTTGTTTACCATGTCATTTATGGATGTTGAGTTAACGACGAGTAAATCAAATTGAATGTAGGAAGTAAATGAAATTTAAGTTTAACGAAAAAATAATTTGAAAGTAATTCAAATTACATTTAATCCGTAACGATTTTAGAATTTTTTACATCATTTTTAACGTAAAATTTCATAATAAAATGATGTAAACTATATTGAAAAATTTATCGTAAAAAAAATAATAAACGTTAATGAAATAGTTGATTTTTTTATTAAAAAAAGACGAGTTAAAAGCTTCTTTTAATACGTATGTTTGACGCATATTTAACTATTTTCAATATCTGTTTGGACCATTCGATATGACTACGATGTAATTTTCATAACGAACTTCTAGAATATGCAAGCGATTTGTAAATTTGGATAATATATGATCATTGACAAATTTTAAAAGTTGTCATATTATCAAAATTTTCAAAATACTAATTTAAAACGGCCTACTTTGATACATTGTAACTTTTGCTATGGTTGATCATTTCGCACACCATTAAGAAGGGAAAAACTAGGTCATGAGCGCTTAGAAATGATATTAAGAATGCAATATTTCGGTTTCATTTTGTATGTATTAAAGTGGGTCGAAAACGGGTTAGAATAAACATTTTCTGAAAAAAAATCTCAAAATTTTGTGGGGTCATCTGACCCCATGTGGGTCCGCCCCTGGTCGCCGGGAATCATCATCTCCTTTCTAACACACCTACTGTTAGGAATCTACTTAACATGTACAGCGAAAAATTAAAACAGACTTCGATTCCCACCAAGAATCGTCTTTGTGTTTAGATAGAAATTGTGATAAGATTGTACCTTTTTTAGATCTGCAAACTTCTTTACTATTCTTTTCATTCCAGCAATCTTGATTCGCCACCCACAGCAATCCAATTGTCCAGCCTCCAATGGTGATCCACACAGAAAACAAGATTACAGCTACCGAGGTTTTCTTTTCTTGTGCTAGCAAGAATAATTATGAGAAAAATCATATGGATTGAAAATCCTAACCATGTATTCATATAAGCCCAAACAGGCCTGGTCCGGTCCGGTCCAATATTTAATTAATCCATTTAATTAAATCCGATCCGTGAATTAATTAATCCAATTAATTAATTCGGGCCTATAAATAACCGACCCAATTAATTAATTTGATCCAACGATTGTCAAATTAATTAATTAACAAATTGCAATCTTTCAATTCTCTTTTGCGTGCTACCCATCAGGTTCTCGGTCACGATACCTAACGACGTGAAATATTATTTTGATCTAATCAAAATTGATAAATTAAAACATCCTTTTAATTTATCATCAATTCACACTCGCCGTCCCAAATTGACATCTAGCAATGTGTCAGGGCGATACATGTGACGGAAAATGTCACGTGGTATGACAAAACCAAACTCGTTCGTTTACCGTGAAACTATAATCTCTTTGTCAATATAATCCGATCAATTACGAGATATGGACGTGTGTCAATCTCGATTATCGATCATATCTTTCACTCTACTATTAAGTCAATATATGTCGAAAACTCATTTTCTACTTATGAGTAGTGTCTTGGCCAAGGATTTCGTTATTGACTTAATTGAATGAAACGCAGATCATAATCTCTTACTATATAAGAGTGACGAGTCCTCTATTAATCATTTACAACTTTCATATGATTATTGACATACCCGAACGATATCGTATTAGCAGCTCTTGACAGAACAACATCCAACACCGTCAAAGCATGATCGTCCTCATATAAGGTACTATAACGACCTCAAGTCAAAAGGACCAATCCCACTATCGAACGTTGGATATTAACCACTGACACTCAGATAGTTATCCATGTGAAATCTCTCGAAGGGTCTCCAACATCCACGTGTTCATTTAAGTATCACCACACTTTAGCTTGTGAGATCAGTTACTTACTTCATAAGTAAGAAATATCACACGTGATGGTCTATCCGTAATAACGATATCCGTATCTCGTTATTACTTACGACCACGAATGATTTAAGATTCAATCAGATGTAATTTGTATCTCACAATCACAACTCCTTGTGATTAACAAATTACGAAAATTTGAATCTACGAACTCTATTATTTAATTAATAAACAATTAAATAATAGATTTGTCATTAAATTGCATTAAGTATATATATCAAAAGTATTTATGTCAAAAATTGATTGGACCTAGGGTATAATACTTACAAACTCCCACTTACACTGGATCCAATCACTTATATATCAAATATCATAAGTTTACATGACGATCATGTTTATGTTACGATAACTCTTTGTCAGTGGATCTGCAATATTGTTTTAGCTAAATCAATCAGGGATTAAATTTGTGAAAGACGTGATCATTTTTGCATGAAGCAATTTTTCTGTTAAAAAAAGGAAGGCTTTCAAATATACCAATTCTTACAAGAAAACTCATTTTCTTTCTTTCCCTTTTTTACTTTTGATATTCCTCTCTATCTCATTTTTGGTCCCCGAATAAACTTTATTCAATCATGAATCATGCCGTGCAACGAGAATGCAGTCAAATTTGTACACATGAAGAACACTCTTTCTCCTGTTAGATTCGATCGAAATGGACAAGTAGACAATCTTAGACAGCGGTTGGTTTGCATTTTCATTTTTCATTTTCAAAACGATTTTTAGTTTTCCCCGAAAATGACCCGTTTTCCGCGTTTTGAACGTTTTGACAATTTATAACTGAAAACACTCAAAATGATAAAAAGTCGTTTTATGTTTTAAGTTATAAATTTTAACTCGTTTTCAAAAATGACAGACCAAACACGTTTTCCGCGTTTTTGAAAACGGAAAACGAAAAATGGCTCGAAAACGGCAAAACCCTTAAGTTTTCAAGTAAACTCGACGATCCTTCCACGCAAAACTTAGAAAACTCGCACGTAGTCGTTGTCTGATCAATTAAAGTATAATTGCAGCAATAAATCCACTTTCATTTGTATCCAATGCCTATTTATGCCAAACAAAATTACTTCCAAGGCCTATATAAAGAAACCCTTCATAGTCTCTATGGCACATCAAATAGCGCATAACTCCATTGAAATCTTGCAACTCTTTCTCTCACCCCACGCCTCCCCTCACGGCCCACACTTCTATTGTAGAAACAGAGGAAGAGATATATACACGTATAGATTCATGCATAAACCATGGCGTCTGATCAACCTCTAAAAATGATAAGCCAGTTATTATTACTATCAGTTCCTGTATTTTCATTCATATTTTCCTACTCGTTATGGTGTTCATCTTTAGCGGATTCTTCCAAAGTTTACTTCACAGCATATCCTATTCAACTTGTGACCCATGCATTGAACAAAAACTGCATTTTTCTCCTCTGCAATGGGCTCCTAGTTTTCCTTGCAAAAACATCGGGTTTGGTTCATTCTCGCGCAGGGTTCGATCTTAATGACCTCTTACAGAAGAAGATTGGCGATGGCCTGCAAACGCTATCTCTTGATCACGAAAAAGAATCTTCTTCCGTAGAAACCGTGCCAACAGCGATGGAAGCTCTGGGACATTCGGACAATTGTGAGGGAGAAAGCAAAGAAGAAGATCGTAAAGAATTAGAAGAATCAAAATCAGAACCAGAAGAAGAAGAAGAAGAAGAAATTTTAAACTTAAATGCAGAACAAGATTACACGAAAGAAGAAGGAACTTTGGACTTGATTGCATTTGAAGAACAAGATTACAAGGAAGAAGAAGAAGATGATGATGATGCAGGATGTGAGAGCACTGAAGAGATGAACAAGAAATTCGAAGATTTCATAAGAAGGATGAAGGAAGAAATTACAACTACTGCTTAAGTAAATTATCGAAATAATTCAATATAAAATTTAATCACCCTGTGATCATGATCTTGTCGATGGACTATGTTATCTTCTTTTTCCGTTTTATTTTTTTAAATATTTTCTCCTTTTTCTTAGTGGATGAGTGACTGCATAGAGATGTAAAAGCTCCTTGTATCATTTTGGAAACAATATATATATATTTATACGTTATTAGGTTTTAACAAGTGTATAAATTAATTGGGTCACTACAAGAAAACTGAAAATTAACATAGGTTGTTAATAACTCGTCCAATTTTTCATTTTTTTTATTTTGCTGTATATCAATTAGTAAATTCTAATTAACAATTAAATAAATTAACCATTTAAAATAAAAATCCAAAAGAGCATATGATGATCAGATGATGGATGATGAGTTGAAGTTAAATTTTAAATACACACGGCATTTCTTTAACAATATAAACATTGAGATGTGATACTTTTAACATCGTGGAGAGTCCAACTAAAGACTTTAGTTCAAGTCTCATAGCCTCCTATATCTAAAATCTCTTATTTAAAAAATTATAATAAGTACATTAAATGGATAAAAGAGTGTATAAAATATAAGATTCTTTTTATCAGGACGGTGTAATTAGACAGTTTTTTGTTGGGAATCCATTAGAAAGTTTGCTTTTGGAAGAATAAAACTTTTATGATAAGCACTAAATGTTGAATCTTGTTATATGTACGCCATGGTGTACACTTTAGTTTACACTTTATCACATGTCATTATACTATTTGACAGTTTAAATTTCAAACAGTTTTTTTATTCAATTGATACTTGACAACAATGCAAGTATCAATTAAAGTGTCAAAAATCAATATACAAATAGCAAAGTTTCGAAATGTTAGAGGTATCTCATGAATATATATTGAACTATTTCATTAATCAAAGTCCAGTGAGAACACTTGGATACTTAGGGTAATAAAGAAAATATATGTACAGATAAGAAAGTAACAAAACTCAACCTTGTGTTTGAGGTTCTTCCTTTTTTGTTTTTTACACAAGTTTGGTATCGTTCGTGAGATGTAAACACAGGCGAACACAACTGAAATAAACGGCTAAGAAATACTCGACTAAGTTCCTTAGGGTGTATAAGCATTGGAGGTTGATCGCAACTTGCTCCAAGTACCACGTGTGGCGCGTTTGGGATAAAATTTATCAATTAAGCCATTGTTTGATACCCGTTATTTTGAGAAAATGGGATTTTGAATGTAATTTTTTAGAGAATGTATGATTAAGCAATAGAAGCTTACGTGCAAAATATATTGTTGTTTAAATATATGGTTGAAAATGAGTATGAGAATTTAAGAATTTCGAAATGATAGTTGTCAAACAGGGACTAAATATAATAATCAACATAAAATAATTTGGTCTTTTTTTTTTATAATAAAATCTTAAAATTCAATACTACATAACTATACAGGAGTTGCATTTCCAAGATCGTCGTTTAAGGAGCTCATTTGTTTACTACAGTATTACTTAAAAATCAATTTTAATCAATAACTCAGAACAGAATGGAATGGAAAAAGAAGATAAGAACTCAAATCTGGGTTATTAATTTCACTTATTTTCTATTTAGAGTTGAGAATTACTTTGACGATTAAATAATAATATTTTCCAAACATGCACTTCATTCTATTAAACAATTTCTTTTTGTTGTTTGAGTTATCACACTGAAATTAATGAAGGCCAAGGGACAAGCCAATGTGTACGTGGAAAATTAAAAACGTGATTAGAAATTCAGAAATCTAGCTTAATTATTTATTAATGAATTTAATATATATATTTGCTGCATGACAACAAAAATGAAGAAGTAAAAGCACCAACTACTTTAGTTCAAAGATAGTTTAATTCTCTTGCGTAATGAATATATATATTTTTTTTTCAATTGTCGTGCTTGTACATTATTTATATACAACATGGATGACATTTGAATAGGTGACAAAATCGAGGTCATTGATTGTTTTAAGTGTTGAGGAAATCAATGGTAAGTGCTTGTTTGGTAAGGATTTTAATAATTGATTTTTTGACCGTTAGAAATAAAATAGGTCCTAACTATGATAGAATAATTAAAAAATGATGGTCGGAATAGTAAAATAACTATCAAAAAATTGATTTAATTGGCTTAGAATTTGTACCAAACAAGTACTAAAATTGTATGTCGAATTAATCTCCTTGTACAAAATTTAATTACAAAGTTAGTTTACAAATTAAGTGTTGGAAAAATTTAAGCTATTGATTTCCATTGATTTGAAAAACCGTTTTTTAAATACTTGGCTTAGATGTTGTCAATACATACTTTGTAAATCAAGTTTATCAATCTAATTATTACAAATAACATGATCCATTGTATGCCACATGGTACAATGTAAAGCAGAATGCCAACTTAAATGTATATGAAACAAGATTGATATTTTTTAAGGGACAAGAGTGTAACTTTTGTTAGTGTGCTTTAAGAGTAGTCGTAGGCCCATTTGACAAAACTTTTGGAAAGTAAAAAAATTATTTGTAAAACTAACAGGTCGCATTGAACATGTTCGAATAATTTTCTAAAAGTATTTTATCCGACTAAAAGAACTTTTAGGACTAGCTATTCTAAAATAACTTTCTCAAAAATTGTTCTACAAAAAGTAGAATCATTGCCAAACAAACTCTTGATCTTAGATGATGTGATATGTTATTCTTATTTGAAGACTTTTATTAGTTATCTTCAAACATGGTACCATCCAAGTGGCCAACGAATTTTTTAGGATAACCCAAGCTTTTCCGGTTTTTAAAAGATGCGGCCATCATATCCTAGCTTTCATTTTCGAATCTACCCCTCTTCCTCGATCCAATTGATATGGATTTTATATTTTTTTAAGATACTGTCCAAATGGGCATCTCCACCTTCGATCAATATCATAATTAATCATGTGATTAAGAGATCATGTATAATTTATGTAAGTATATGAAACCATAAATTGATTAGAATAATTGATGATAAGGCTGGTCATAATTGTGGATCATGTGAAATGTGTAATCAATTTAGTTAAAACTGTATATATGCATTGAATGAATGTGATTGCCCTAAGAAGAGAGAGTCATGTCGTCTTTAAAACTGATGCAACAAAAATGATATTCTTTTTGTTGGTGGAACGTTTGATTAGAACAACATAACCAATGAGGAGCAAAGGCTGCAAAGCGAACAAAATGCCCTCTTTAATGAATTCCCGACCCTAGAGTTAGCACTAATTGAGTTGTGGATTTTGAGCTTAGCGGTTCAAAGCTCTCATGAGATTTGGACATATTTTCATGTTTTGCTACTTTCGAGTGATGCTAGACCACCAAAAATTAAAAGACCACTTTTAAACTTGCTTTTAAAGTTTGTGGAAATTAGGCCAAGCATGTTTTTTATTTTTCAATTTAAAAATTAAGTTTAAAAGTTTTTTATTAAAAAATTAGGCAGTAATTCAAATTTTTAGTATTAATAATAATATTACTAGATTAAATTAATGTAGAATCTACATACCCACCACACCCTCACCCCTATCCACCCCACTACATTTCACTTCACAAACCTTAATCCTACCCATCTATCTTTTCTCTCTATATCCTCCCCCTTCTTTCTTTCTCTCTCCTTATCACACACCACCATCGGAAGGCTATCATCGACGACGCTGTGAGAAGCGACGTTCACACCGCTACGCAATAGCAATGAAGTTTTGGTGGTAAATTTTGAAGTGGTTTCTTTATCCTCCGATTTGTTGTTTATTGGGAGTTTTAGCGTGGTGGTTATTGGTGGTTTGTAAATTATGGTGGGGATTGTATAGGTTATAATGGTGATGGTGAGGTGGTGCACGCGACGATGGTGCTCATGGTTGTGGTGTTGGCAATGATAATGTAAGTAGTGGTGGTGGTCATGAGATAGTTGCAATCATAAATGTGGAGCTGTAGGTGATAATGGTACAAGTGGTGGCGGTGGTAAGGTAGTCGATTGGTGTCAACATGGGTAGGGTGGGATAAAAAGTGTTTGTGATCAATTATCTAGGTGATTGTGACCAATAAATTAGTTAATTTATGACTAGAAAGTAACATTTGCTCGATAAAATAGATAATTTGCGATCGATAAATAATATGAGACCTAAAAATTGTGAGGTTACGATTAGATTTGTAGTCGTGACTCAAAATTTGTTAAGGTGTGATCAATTAATTTGATAATTTGTGATCGTGAAATAAGTTGTAAACTATAAAATTCGTGATTTATGATCGAGAAATAACATATGAGTTATTAATTTGATAATTTGTGTAAATTTGTGATCGAGAAATAATGGATGACCAATTAATTAGTGGTTAATAAATAAGTTATGATTTATAAAATTTGTAATTTTTGACCGTGATATTTTGTAATTATGAATAGTACTAAACTTTGATCATAAACTATATTATATTGTGACCTTAATAAATTTAATTATTCATGTAATTATGACCTGATTATTGAAATTTTGGAACAAATATCTTAATTTTGAAATTGTACCTTTCAAACCCCTTAAGCCTGTTTAATATTTTAATCTAAATCAAAGTGAAAAATTAATTTTAATAACATATTTCATAAGATCAATTTTCTAACCACACATTTAATCAATTTTTATCAAATTTCACTACAAATTAATTTTCAGTCTCCACGAAATAGGTACTAAATATGTGTTGTTCCCTTAGAGTTTTAGATTTTAAGACGATACGTCCTATCTAATTTACAAATAGAAACTTCCATTGAGGTTTGTTTTCAATACCGGATTACCTCTATTGACCCAAAGTATCATTTTTATTTTCTATTCTACCCTTATTTATTTATAATATAATTCGAAATTGCTATTTAATGATATTTAAGGTATTTTACTTAAATGCTTACATTATTTATATCTAAAATAAGTCACTGAAATTATGTCGTAAATATTTTCTTTGATCTTTATTTTTTACTCGTAAAATTAAGTTTAAAATGTATTCTTATTATGATATAACAAAAAATACAAGAAAGAATGACAAGAAGTAAAAAATTAAATTTTTTTCTCCTTTTTTCGATCATCTTTTTCCCTTCTAAGAAAAAATAGAACTTTTGACAAATATATTGAATGTAAGAGCCTGTTTGGGAGTAATTTTTTTCACAAAAAAATTGATTTTTTGACCATTA